GAACTCTCTAAGCGCTGTTGTTTTTGTGGAGGCGTGATCATTTTCGGCACCCATCTAGCGCTGACCTTACTCATGCGAAGATGATTGTGCAGGATTTTAAAAATGTCAGTATCGGATACTCCAATCGTTTCTGCGAGTTATTCCATTTAAATAGATTGGGCCACTTGTACATCATGGTTCTCCCCATAAAAGAGTCAGTGTAAACCAATGACATATCATTCATTATGGTGGCACTAGTTTTCCTTAACTAATTGTCTAATAACAAAGAAACCTCACATTTTGACTATTTCTGAGCCACTGAACATGCTACGATACTATTGGGTCTCATCCCTCCTCTATAATGGGAGAGCGGGAGAGAGGGCTTTACTCGGGGTTCTTTTTACAACAATAACTCAGGCCTATAAGTATATTCATATAATTTTGTTCACCAAAGGTAAGGTTTCCCAACATTACTTCTGCTCAAAAAAATCAGTATTGAGATAGAAGAGAAGCTTCACTCGTGTTCTACTTCTGTTTTTGAAAGGAAAAAGGAACGAAAAACATCTTTTATTCATATAAAAACTACTTATACTAAATAGAGGAATTAACTACTTTGGATTCAAACCAAACTGTGAATATATACGAGCATATGTATGTCAATTGTTTTCACATTATTCCTATGTATTTATATTCTTAGTTGGCTTTTAATTTCAAAATATTTATCTTCTACTTCTTTAGGGGTTTTCTTATCAAAAATAAATTTATTATCTATACATACTTAGAAAATTCTTATTTAACGATAAATAAACTGCCATTGGTTTGTTATTCATTAAATTAGAGTTTACTTTGTGTTTGAGTCAACAATAGTTCATTTGAAAGTTCGGTACTAATTGGTGGTAAGGACGTCTTTATTGTTTGCCGAAGGAAAATATTTCTATATTTCCTTGTTCACTACGAGAAGAATTAGCTTTTTTTGGCACTCTAGAGAAAGTACAACTTACGGAGCGATTTTTGACGAACAACCTTATAATAGGCGTTTTTAGACACTTGTCTTTCAAGAAAAAAAAAACCGCTTATAATTTGATATTATGACTGAGAGTTTAGCTTTATTATAAAGATAAGGGTTTGCTATTATTTAATAATAATTTCGCATGACCGCCGCGACCGGCTCGATTCAGCCGACATGCCCGATTTTGGCCACTTCTTGCAGTGATTGGGTCCATATGTCAATCATGAGTAACTTCATGTAACTCCACAAAGAATAATTCAGCGGTGTTAAATGGCACGATCTTGGAGGCGACGCCACAGGCCCATGACCTGACCATGACCAGAAATTTCCTCCAAAAAATTGATTATTCTGTTCCAAAGCTGAAAGAACGTTTTTAGTGCGCATTGTTCTTTAGAGAAAACGTGGTGTGAAACCGATCCATGATTGCCGTGATTATGTCGACTGAATATTGGACGCTGCACGGGATGTGTCGCATGAGCCTAACTCTTATTTTGGTGATAAATTTACGTGATTTGTAACCGTTGCTCCGTAGTAAGTAATGTAAGTAGTAATGCTTGCTCTATTTAGTGTAAGAAAAGTTTCTTTGAGTTTTCAATATAATAACTTAGAATGCAAACAACAACAATTTACCTGACTCATTAGGGTAGCGAAATTTGGATTTGAGACATAACTACAAAAATGATAAGCTTTGAATAACGCAGTTTAGGACATAGATTATTAGATTTTGCCTGCGACTTCGTCGGCATGGATTTTCAAAATTGTTCTAAAAAGACTTTGAAACGATTTTATAAGTTTTTATTTATAATATATCATGTTCGAATGTTTGAACTCCTTCTCCAATTTGTGGTTTTGCGTATTGCCAAGGGACGACCGAAATTATAAAATTTGACTTATTTTTTTATTTAAATTAATTTTCTATAACTTTTTGATGTTGGTCGTAGGGCGATTTGAACCCGAGCTTTCCGAATGGCAGTAAGCAATGCTAACCATTAGGCTACCACAGCCGTTTGAATAACTATTAAATATAACACAAGCCCGAATAGAACTTCCGGGAAAATAATTTCTTATCGAATGCCTACATGCTCAGTAACTGATCAGCTAGAATTGATTTAGTTAAAATTATATGCTTTATGACATTTGTAAGTCCAATATGTGTACTCGCATACAAATTTCACACATTTATTTTCACGTAAATATTATATTTTTTTTGCATTTTCATACTTACACATGTGTCAAAGTTGATAAAGTAGTCACGTATTTTATTGCGCCACTGCAGCCCAAAATGATTAAAAAACTAAAGTTTGAAATGTTCTTGTGCATACTAGTATATCTACATACATACAGAGTTCATATTTTGCATATTCATAAAATATTTGGCACATACTTAAATACAGGAGATGCTTATTTCGTCAACTAAAACGCCATGGGCTGAAGTGAACTAAAAAACTTTCTGAAGCCATTGAAACACCCTGTGACACGCATACGTGTATATCCATATATCTATGTGTTGCCAAACGTTTCATTTATTAACGGACGTATATGATATTTTTCTTTTTATCTTCTCTCTACTGCTATGTGTGTACATACATTTGTATGTGTGTATTCCAGAGTAATCATTTCGTTAAAGTTATCCCTTGTCACAGCAATACACAAACAAAGTTTATACAGTTCATTCGTTGCTTTTGTATTCGAACTTCCGTTAAAAAATGTTGGAATATTTTGTTTTACATCTTCATAAAGCCTTTATAGTTTGAGTATATATAATATTCTTTGAGCTATAAATAGCCTAAAGTATGAACTTCCAGAAAATCCATAATTTTATTCAAACCTGTCAGAAATGCTTGTACCCTTTTATTGTCATAAGACATTTATTATTAATACATTACTTTCGGTTGCCAAAAAACTTGGGTGGCTTAGTGGTCCTAAGTAGAAATTACATATTGAGAATAAAAATAGAAAAGCCCTTCAAAAAACAAATTTTTGTCGCAAACTTTAACACTTCTTTACATACATACCATGGATATAAATAAAATAGAGCAGTGGAGAATATGGTGATATGTATAAAAATAAAATATTCATAGATGACCGCCCAACAACTTAACTAAATAGTTTTTGGTTTATTGGTTGATTGAAAGATGGGGGTGGCCCTAAGCCATTTGACGTACCCATCGTGAACCCCCGTGTATTATAACTAAGCGATTTTGAAGAGTTGGATCAAATTCTTAAATTGCTTCGTGAGGTTGGAGCTGGGAATATCATGGAAGATATGACGTCTCAACCGGCTGAAGACTTGCAAAGGAAGTGCTGCAGCGTGTCGCTTATTGCAAGCAACAGTTTGGTTTCTTTACTATCCACGCATCCCCGCAATAATTGAGTTGTACGTCCTATGTTGGAAGAGGGCAAATATTAGAGGTCCCCATTTAGATCCATCAGTATGGATATAGATTTATTCACTGTTAACGATAGGCCAAACTCAATATCACGACTAGGAGAGGAGTAGGTAACATTTACCACACAGAAGAATATCCTAATGCCAAGGTACACGTATAGGTATGAAGGTCAATGGCAAAAAAAATTCCGACAACTAACAACTCAATGTTACTGGTAGTTCCAACTGCAATTGCCACAAAAGTGATAAGGTGCAACATAATCCTCAAATCGTTATCCAGTAGCATCTGGGGAAAAGACAAAGAAATGCTGGAGAACCTCCATGGCCGGAAAAATTTTGATATCACTGGAACATCACTTGCAGAATGAATCCTCAATGTCACGAGTTAAGGATTATAATGTTATGTCGTACAAGCTAGATCTGCTAGGTTCCTTCTTTTGGAAGCCTCCCAACAGACATTTACTTGAGACTCCACATAGGCACATCAGGAAGGGAGTACTAGACTATACAGACTTCATTCAGAACCATAGACAAGAACCGCTGGACAAAATGGGGTATCGAAAAGCTTTAAACACTACCCATATTCATGAATTCTTTTCTGGTGAATGGCGTTGTAGGAATTAAAAAAAACCTATTGCATACGAAGAGCTCGAGCTGCCTAATCACCTCGACATTGCTAAGGTATGTCCAGCATGCAAGGAGACCCTCCACGACACCTGCACTAACCTCTCACCTCTATGCATGTCTCCTAAAGCTTCCTCATCTAAGCCCCTTTTCTCTCGGACCCAAATCCGTCAAAACAGCTCACCGCCCTTTAAATTACCTCTATGACATAGACTAATCTGAGTGGGGTCCAAGAACCGCTAAAACAGAACGGTATATTTCGTCGGTTAATAAAACGTTTATTCCAGACCTACGTGTAGGAGACAAATAGGAGAGAAAGAGTAAATTGTTCAAATAATATTTCATTTGTATTTGCAAATGACTAATAAAGGCAACAGTAATATATTTAGTATGATACATCAAGATTTGTTAAATTTTTTATTAGCTTCTCTATTTGGCAAGCTGCATCATTAACTCGGCCACAACAAATTTTAATGTAAATACAAAATGCGTTTAGGTAGGCAAAGAGCAGATAAATTATGTAATGTAAGACATTTTGCTTATTCCAAGCTATTAGCTTTTGACGCTTAATTAATGAGCATCGTTTAACTATGAATATGGATATTACATGAATTATAGGGAATATAATGTAACGCGACATAGTTAATAAAGCCGCCATCAAAAAAAAAATACCAGTTCATTGGTAGACTTAAGCTATGTATAAATATATAATATCGTATTTCACAATGCTAATAAATTTGCAGCTCATATTTATGTGCATTAAATGTTTGTATGCAAAAATAAAAATAATTTTCAAAGTTCCTTCAAATATCCCAATTACATCAAAAGTGAGGCGAGAGAAAAATTTCCAAAATATTCGGATTGCCATTTGCAGGTAAATGAAAGACAAATATGTAATTATTGGAAATTGAGTTGTCTCACCTTAATCCGCATAAAAGTGAGATTTTTCAAACTTAACTGATTTTCCCACGCCCCGATGGAAGAAAAAGAAGATGTGACCAAGGATGTATTTTGTGTTGAAGTGTACTCTGCTCGCGCTACGTTGTAAAAATTATGGCGCGCTAATTAAGGCCAGGTAGTGCAAAGAAGATATATACGGTAAATTATCCAAAAAATTCAGCCTCCATAGCGAAAAATCCGCAAATGGGTTAAACCTGATCGACTTCGCCGGAGCCCCATATATGGCTGTCTGTAGTACTAGATTCCAGCACAAAAGAGTTCATCAAGCTACTTTGCTATCCTCTGATAGAAAAAGTTTTGACTTCGATCAGATCGATCAAGTTGCATTGTAATTGACGGAGTTCTTGTCTCTCATTATTGAAATTTCAACATTAAAACTTGATAGAATTAAATATTAGATTATATTTCAATACAATATTCTATTGAAATTACGATTAAAGTTGCCGTTGTTCGTAATAAATTAGCCAAAATTCCTCTAAAAACTATTAAGGAGGGACTGCCCGGAAATGTTATTAAAATTGCGGATTTTCGAGCGAACGAATTGAAGAGTTTCATTTCTTGCCATCTTTGCTGCAATTGTGACCGATATCTGGGTTTGTATGAATATCATTGCGGCTTCTTATAAACTTTTGAAAATTCAGTTGTTAAAAAACAATTGTGGAACTTCATTATACATATTATTTTCGTGCAAATTGAAAGAAAGCAATCAAAATGATTTACTATACCTTCCGGTGCTCATAAAATTAATAAGCAACACCAATAAAACAGCTAAAACTGTTTATTCTCTACAGAAACAATAAGACTGACTTTCTAAGCTTATTAATAAGTAAAACGGAAGCGAACTGATACCCTCTGGAAACAATAATTTGAATAAAGCAAAACGAGATACTCAAATAATACATATAAATTGAGACAATAAGAGAAGAAAGGTCTTCTACTAGCAAAATGTGGGCGGCTACTCTGTTCTTTCGCGGAAAATTTATGTGGAAATAGACAAGATAGGAATATTTTGTGTGCAATTTTTTTTATTCCTTTTGATTGGAGAACATTTGTTTAGAAGTAAAATGTAAAGTAAGAATGGCATTAACTTTTTCAGAGAATTGCAATTGTACTAAACGACAAGTGGAAATGAATTTAAGCCAGAAACCAAAACCAGAAACTTACAAGACATCCCCCAGGGAATCGTTTGTTTTAGGCAAATGGCTTTATGTGCGCTCTTACTGCGCACAGCCTCACATTGCACAGATGTCGAAATTATGGCACGTAATGGACACTTCTGTGGATAAATGTAATTGAAAGTAATGTAATGTTTTGAATTTATTTAAATTGATGAACTTAATGACGCAAGAACATTTAATGAATGGAAAATAATGAAAATCAATAAAAGGTTGTTTACACAATGCAATACAATTTCACAATACAATACAAGAAGTAAGTAACATATGCAAGAAGAGGTTGAAGTGGCTATCGATGTGTAAGCAGCAATACACTAAGAATAGTGCAGGCCTATTGTGATACCAGGGTATTTACCCAATCACTAAGCATTACTATCCATCTGCTTAGTGTCTGCTGCCTTGTACAAAATAAGCGTTTAAAGTAGCTCTTAGATATTGGAATCTAGCTCTGTCCGAGATGTGGCAGCCATATCTCTTGCTTCTCACCAATCTTACAGCACTGGAAGAAACTCTCAGCTTTATCGCATGTCGTTCTATCAAGCAGTGCCCAATTAAGGCTCTCACAGCCATAGAGATATTCTATCTTTTGAGATATCATCTCTTTTTAGAGAGAGTATATTTCACACGACCTTTACGGTTCCATTTTGTGTAGAAATGTTACAAGAAGCAGTGTGGTTCCATCTTAATTCAGCATGTTCATTAGCAAAGTCTGTGAGTAGTCGTTTGCATGTAGCGAAATCTGCACAAATGCCTGGCAAATTCGTCCTACGATATAATTTCCTTTTATGTCCTTGTAATCAGGAACCGAAATAAGAGATATTCTTTCCGCTTGGGCGATGCCCAGCATAGTCCTTTCATTAAGTTTCTATCAATTAGTATACGTATATTTCAAAAGTTTGGAAAGTCAATTCGTCTCACAACAGATGCAGCATTGTCTCTTTTGCATGCATAGAGGCCGATGGGTGCCTTCTCAAATCTGCGTACCGTAATATATTCTCCACTTCAGCTTCTTATTTAGAACTACACCAACACATTTTTACTTGGTTCCGAAACTTAGGTAAACTTCAAATCAAGTCGCATAAGGCTATGGCGATATTATCGGCGTATGCAACGATTCTAGTTTCTCGGCATTCATTTTTTGTCGTGAATAAGCAAATAGTTGATATCGCACTCGAGGATACAATTATACACCAGAGGTGTATGGATTTTTTTGTAAATATTTGCATTACTCCCTGTACTCTTATGCTCCCAGGGCGAATCTACCTATAGCCTCTTGGCTTTGTTAAAATGTCACCTGTGTGGCTTTTGCTTTTACCGTCGTATTTTGATCAGGCTGTATATAAATGCTCAAAAATTTTTCAAGATCTTCGATAGATTTCGCTGATTGATAGTTTGAATTGCTTTCAAAATAAATTGATAACTCCTCCAATCGCTTCTTCTGGGACTTTTTCCCAGATTTACTTACATAGTAAACATGTTTATGAATGTAAATATATTTATATGTAAATTTATTTTCTATTACATTCATAAAAATGAAATTGACATATTAGTTATTGATTGATAAATGTGTTGAATCTTCCTTGACAGCAAATGATAAATGATTGAGCATAAAAGTGAGGATAGAGAATGGTATTTTTGTAGTTAGGTAAGGATGCATATGGGACTTAAATATCTAAAACTCATCATGTCCGGGAATGAAGAAAATTTTAATTTAATAAATATAATAGGAGTTGGTACACTTTACACTCGATAACCACAGGGGTACATAATATAATAAAGTGTGTGTACACCAAATGCCACCTATCCATGGACATGTTTTTCGACCCACTGTATCAGTGTGTTTAGGCAGCACACGCTTAAATATCGTGTAAATTTCAGAAATCTTTATAATAGTAAAAACTAGATGTTTCCGTACTAAACAAGTTTTTGTATATCTTAAGCAAGTATAATTTTATTGTATTTCAACTCCATGAGTACCATATCTAACATATTGTACAATATATACATACATGTCGTATGAGCAACATTTAAGTAATAGTGAAAATAGAGAAAAAAGACTCGATAATGAAAAAAAAAAATGTTTCCTTATAAATCTGCCGAAACTGCCTCCTTGTTTTTATTGACGGCGATAAATTGTTTAACTCTAACGAGCTTCTCAGCTTACTGTGACACCTTAAATTGGGAGGTGTTGATATCTTTTTATGCCACTGCATTGAGTCTTGTTCCGACTCATTTTCATATTGGTGAACCCAAGACGAAAGTCTTCAGTAGCAATTCTACTCTTCATCTCAAAGGCATAAAAATGCACGTGAATATTCTAAACGCTGTGGCTTTTACGGAAGTGTGAGCTTTTTCGTCACACATACTGCGCTGACCTTGGTCATGAATTCAAAAGTCCCCACGTATGTAAGTCATTCTGTATCAATGACACTTGTGAATTGGAAATATTCGGAAAAACTGCTTTATTAGAAATAACATTTGTTGTTTTGGGTTAAATTAATTACTGACTATAACTATCTGTGATCTCCTTCCCAAATAAAAGTATTGCACGTATTGTATGTTAGTCTAGAATCAGTCCACCAACGTACTAAGTTTCAAGTAAATTGAACCCGTTCGTTGGTTTATTTCTGTCTATTACTCGCAAAATCGAATTATCCCTGGAAGGAAGAAAATTAATGAACCTTAAGTCCGATATTTTGTAATAGATCGGCCCCAGGTCCATGAAAAGGTTAGTGTTCACGTTCACTCAAGTGTTCGTAAAAATCTCTCCCACATACATTCTTTTTTATATCTATAAAACATTACTTCACTTATGCTTAATCATTTAAACCAAATATTACTCTTCTCACAGGTGTCAATTCTTCGAAGAATAGCCTAGTTTGACGGGAATGCTCTTCATATTTTAATGAAACTGCATATTTCAATGAAGCTGTCTCAAAAAGCAGCACCTAAGTGGTGTCCTAGTAACAGGCTGTATAGTTGGAAAACCCAGAGGCTTAAAATATAAATTTATTTTTTTTTTTAATGAAAGATCGATCAGAAATATACAGTAACTCACTATAATCACGGCGCTTAAATAAAAAACCTTTTCCGTCTGAAAAAATTCTTTACTTTTTATTTGGTTTTTGTGAGTAAAGTGGTTTAATTGACTCGGTCACGAAGATATTAATTTACTTTATATTCGTTAATCCTTCAAATTTAAAAAATAGCGGTTTCTAAGATTTATCGTAGAACAGGAATGACAAGCTATCTTCGGCCATATAAATTATAGTATTTCAATTTAGGATTAAATATTAATTCTCAATTTTGAGCAAATCGGTTCAATGAAGACTATATGACATAGAACACCGATTTCAATGATTTTCGGTAACAAAATTTATTTGTAATGATTTTTTGATTGATTTTTGACCGTAAGCCTCATATCTGAACAATTCGGTTCTGATTTCGATAATTCGGTTTATAGATTCGAAGATTTAATTAACGTTATTCCGACTATTTTGTAAAACTAGAGATTGAAATCGAAACTAGAGGGGTATTGCCTCGTAGATCGGCTCTGTTTAAAGGCGATTTGTCAAACATCTCAATTTCCAAACCTAAATTTTCTCGAATTTGCAGTGATGATTACAGTGATTTATTTCTAAAAAAAAATATCCCAAAAATAATAAAACGAAACCATTTATTAAAGAACGCAAACCCAAAGAAGGAAATGTACAAAAAGTAGTGCTTAATGAAGAAACAACAAAAAAAACACAACATTTCATAAATGAGCACATTTAGTAAAGACGCGGCAAACTGAGATTAGATTGCTTATAAGCAGCACGATATACATACGTATTCAAAACAAACCTTCAGAGCACGGTTCTGTGTGGGTGTGCCTGAATGCAATAAAATGTTGAAACATGTATTTATGTGTGTATGCCTTACAAAATGCCCACAGCTATTGGCATCGTTGTGTTGGTCGTAAAAGCCGTCGACAAAGGACGCAATGGACTGTGCGAAAAATGTGGCTGAAAGTAAATATTGGACAAATATAAATATATAACTGACGCTTTGTAACCGCTGAATCGAGTTTCGGCCGAGCTCCTCAACCAATCCGTGGTGCGCGTTTTGATGTTTTCCAAGAAATTTCGTAACCTACAGTTTAAACTAAACCGCCTCCAAACGGCTGATGGATTTTTATGAGGAGCTTTTATTTGATGTAAGAAATATACTCAGTGGGGTTGACATTCCCTGCCGAGAGAGACCGAGGTCAGAAAATATAACTTATTTTTTTATTTTAATTAAATTTCTATAATTTTAAGATGTTGGTCGGACCCGGACTCGGACTCGGACTCGGACTCGGACTCGAACCCTGACCTTTCGAATGGCAGTACGTAATACTAACTACTATATCGCGGTCGCATACAGACAAGTCGACAAATACCTAGGTTTTTTCAAACGAAGTGCTGATGGGGTATTTGGCGGCAAATAATTTTAACATTTTGTCTAAATACATAGTTGAATACTGACTACTGGCCAAACTTGCGGGTGGTCGAATGCGTGCGAGTTAAATGCAGATGGCGATGGAGCTTAGTGGATGGGTAAATAGATAGATGTGAAAGCACACGCATCTTCGAAATATTTGCTCTACCTAATAGCGGAAAATACATTCTCTTATTTACTTACACTTATCTTATCGGGATGATGGGCGTGTTGTTGATGATGATGCTGGGCAGCAGCATGGTTGGGAGTTGCGTGCTTCTCCATAATGTGGATGCTGTGTGATTTCAGTTAATACTTTAATATGTTTGTAGGAAGTTTTTTAAGAGGAAAGTTCAGCGAAATGCGTAATATAGTTTACTGATTGCGTGTTAATTGGAAATTAATTTGATATTAATTGTTTTAGTTCGTTCAATTACGGTATACGTGTAGTTTGAAAAAAAAAGAAAATTTTTTTTAGAAAACTTTATTTCGCGGATAATGTGGAAAACGTTGATTTCGTGAAGAACTTTAAAGTTTAATGCGCTTCCAAAATATGTGTTGTATGCATAATTTGTTGTTTCTTTTATTTAGTAGATTTAAAATCAAGATTTAGTTTGTCTAAAATACTGCAAATAGCAAGAAAATTTTTCTTGCTCCTATTTTTTTTCCAAATTTATTTGAACTTATTGTATATTTTAACACTAATCGGAACTTCTGCACAGCTCTTATTATTAGTATTATTTCCGAAGTGAAAATCTCAATCTAATGACTATAAATATTCTTAATTGTTTTCCAAGCGCGCTCACAAGTACATTCAACGAATGCTGAATAACAACTGACACTGTTACTTCGACGCTTATCAGGCGTCACATATCAGAGCAGCAGTCAAGCCATGTCGTACGCCGAATATTTATGTGGTGGCATAGCTACCCGACTGGCAAGCTCTTCCAATGGTTTACTTTTAATACCGAACTCTTTGCTCACACCAGTGAAGCAAACCACCAAATATACAAACAAGCATTTTGCGCCGTTTGTTTGCGGTGCAATTGTACCAGGAGAGTGCTTACTAGAGAATGCAAAAAATAAGAAAATACCTATATACATACATAATACATCATAGTAATATTAATTAAAAGACGAAGAGCTATAGTAAATGTTATCTACCTATGGTGTCAGTGTCTATCAGTCAAATTTAAATGGAAATAGGAAACCAAAGTTTAAGCTTAATTTTATAAAACTAAAACTAAAAGCGATGTTTCCAAACTATAAATATGCACATATACATATTATAATGTGAGTTCATCCCCAAGCAAACGTATCTGATGACACGTAGACACTGTAAACTTTTAAGCTTTCACAAGAATTCAGATACTTATACTTATATTCGTGTATATGCGTGTGTGTAACGCTTAAAAGTATGCTTTAAAAGGATTGTATGTGTTGTGCCCTGTAGGACAGCTATGGTTTAAAGCTATCACAAACTCATTTGGTTAAAAAAACGTATTTCACTAATTCGGATAACAAAATTGTTATATATGAAAATCTGCTTGTTCGCTTAATATGTATATTGTTTCACACCGAAATATTCTGGTCCTATGCTAGAAGTTCAGCTAGCGATTCCATTACCTGTAGTTTCGGTAGAAGATCTGTATGTCTATACACAGATTTATACAAGAAGGTTTTTTAGAAATAAATACACTTTAAATATAATAAAGTTGATAATAAACTAAGAACCATGTACACTTTCTACTACATTAGTAGAGAATAACTTTACTTCAACCCACTAAATTACAGTGAAACCTTAATCACGGGAATGAAAATCTATACAACAACAACCTTCCCTCAGCATACAGCCAACACCTTCAATGTTTTCTGCAGAATTTCTCGTTGGAATAAATAAACTAGCGGTAGCAAGCTACAGCGCCAAAGGGTGTTCACCTCAATATCTTGATATTATAATGTTAAAACATAATTACCTTATTGTTTTCGGGAAGCATACATAGCTAGCCACTTTAACACTGAATTTCTAACAATTATCCATGCATCTATACATGCATGTGTGAGTGTATCGTATAAGCCGCAATTGTTTTGTACATTTTGTTGTGACATATTTTTATAAATTTCCTTTTGTCACAGCTTCTTAAAGCATCGGCATCAAATTAAAACCCCCGTAAAAAAAGTTAGTGTGTATATAAATGTGTGTATGTACGAGCAAGAAGCTTTAGTATGGCAAGAGCTTTCAAGCTTGAGGTGAAGAACACATTTCAGGGTAGTCGACGCCCACATGTGACTAGAAAAGGTACCCATTGAGAAAATATTATAGGCGTATTTGCATTGATTGGTATGAAGAAACTTTAGCACCGAATTTCAGTTCAAGCAGACTTTAAAAAGATTATCACATCAACCAACTGGAAGCTTAACCATCTGCAAGTACATCCCTTTTATTTATTTACTTCTTTTTTATTTACTTCTTTTTTATTTACTTCTTTTTCTGTTGTAATTTTCTCTTTCGCCTCAAGGTAACCTTGAACTTTAAAAGCTCCGACAAATGCCATCTGATGTGTTCCAACTATGTATTTGACTTGAACTATGCATTTGTAGGTAAGTTCGGTCAATCAGTACCAACGTCATTAAACTATAAAGAGAATGATGCTAATAATGCTGCTAACATAAGTAATTGTGATGAAGCAATGTGACAACATTATTTGTGAACTAATGTAAATTTCATTATAATCATGAATAATTTATACTCTATCTATATATATATATATATATATATACGCCTAGTACATTATATATTTCTAGAGGTTCAAAAAAACAAACCTCAAATTAATTATTCTACCCTACATAATGGCGTAGGCAGATTTCCTTATACGCATAACTCAATAACCTACATATGTATATACATACACGAAGAAAATTGGTTTAATTTAGTAATATAATTAATGTTACTCATACGCCATGGTCAGCATACAACACTTATTAAACATAATCTTATGTTGAAAAATTAAAATGATATTGTGAAAACAACTTAAAATGAGAAAGTATTCTATTCTTCATTATTTTTTAATTTTATTTTAATTTTTATTTTAATTGTAGACAGACCAAGTTGCTAGTTACTTGCATTAAATAAAAGAGATATCAGAAGAAGATGAACGCTGGAGCTCAACCAAGCCTTGCGAATTCGCGTCCTTCAGCCGATTGAGACGTTATATCTTTCACGGTGCTACTACATCAAACCTTACGATATTGGGACCTCATAGTTGTGTAGAAACAAAAACGATACGGCGGGATGCGGTGCTCAAGATCCTCCTTCAGCGAACCAACCATTTTATTTTATTTTAATTAATCTAATTTCATTTAATATTATATTATTGTATTTATGTAATTTAATTTAATCTTTTTCATTTTATTTTTCCATTTTTTGTTTGTTTTTTATCTTTTCTATTTTTCATTAATAATAACTGTACGAATTTTCAAAATTTTTGACCTGTCTATTCGTCTGCCTCTCATTTCTATCCTTGCATGTTTCGCAATACCAACAATGACCATACAAATAATGTTTTTGTGGTTCAAGTCTTTTGATCCCTTCGTTGTATTTGTACAGCAGATGTTGTTTATTGTTTATTTTACGGCGAATGCCTACATTGTTGGCCATTGTTGACCAATCCCAACACAATGTGAATTTTGCAAACACCAGAAGCAACAATGCAAAACTTAAAAATCTCTCAAGCATAGGCACTTTCGTACCGAAATGACATTTTTGCTTTATTTAACTAAATTTGTTTTCATTTAAATTATGGTTCGCTATTTTTTGTATAGCTTACTTTTCACTGTCCGTTGTTTGTGTAATTTCACAACAAATATGAATATTGTGTACTTATATTATTAGTAAATTTTTAGTTTTACACTTTGCTTTTTGGTTATAGTTTATTTAAAGAAACACATTTTTCGAAAGTATATTTGTTGAGAAAAGTTAAAAAAATAAAACATTAAAAAAATTGTCACTGTATAAGTTTAACGATCAACTAAAATAAAAAAAAATAATATAAACATTTGCTGGGGAAAATAATTAAACTAATTAATTTTTCAAAATTTGTGAGTCAAAAAAATTAAAACCATTTAAGGATTCACTACTTAATGAGTTTAATTATGAAATTACTTAATTATTTTTTTGTATCTATTCATATTTATGTAGTATTGGGATGACCGAGCTTCGCACGAACGCTGTAAGTTTTACAGTTAATTAAAAGAAGATATTTTGAGTTCAAACTATTGTTTATCGCAATTAGTTCAGTTTGCAGTTAATCATTTCTTCTGAAGACAAAGAGAAATACAAACTTCAAAGTGTTGTCCGTCAGACGTCAGTCGACTACCTTTTCCCAACTCTCTGGCAAGTCTTCCTTACCACCTCTATAAAATAAATCCTTATGTCCTCGAACCAATCATTGAGCCATTCAGCGATATCTTCAACCCATTGACTGCCCAAATCGTTTTGCATTTCAAGGAACAATGTGCGAATAATACGGCTAGGAAAGATCTCAGCCTTTCTAGGTAGTTTTTGAAAACTTGTCATGCTTTTCGGTCATTTCTGATCGTTGGTTTCGCCTGGATTTAGCAGCTCATAGTGCACCATATCAGCAAGCTTCTTGTTTTTAGCTTCTACAAGCATTCGAAGGGCTTCAGCTGCTCTTCTCTTTCATTTAAAGTAGAAAATCAAAACTTACGCAAATGCTTTTTATTTAACACAAATCCGGACATTTTTGAAAAAGCAAAAAAAAAAAAAAAAAAGTTTGTTTTGCCAGACACCGACGCCATGATGCATACTTTTACTGTTGGCAGATGTGAAACCTTTCAAATGAAATAAGTAATCGCTCCCAAGATCGGCCCAACCTACTGGTAGAGGTATCTTTGGAAATCGGATCAAATTTGTTTGTACTCCCCTTTTATTTTACTTGAAGTAATAACAATAATTAAACGTAAATATTTTGGTACGTCGCATTTATGTTAAATAGTGGTAATTACGATTAATTGCATTAATACGAATCAATTAAGGAGTTACCTCCGTTGCTAACTCCGAACACATTTCGCAAAAATATTACGAGTTAATGGCATTTTGTTTGGCAGCGTTGTTGAATGTTAACAGTTGTACTCTATAGTAAATGAAAAATGCTAATAACTGTTTTTTAATTAAATGTAAATATATTTTTTAAAGGAATGCTCAAAAATAAACATTTCCAGATTTTGCTGAAGAACCCAAAACACACAATTCAATAGCCACTCTTTCCTGGAAAGGATGCAAGATTTTTCGATTTGTTGAATCTTTTGGCATTTTTATCACATCAAATTTTATTCTATCAAACTGAAAATATTATTTCTGTTAACTCCAATTGCTGCTGTCTGTCCCCTACAATGCGGTTCTGTTTAAAATCACAGTTAATGGGGATTAACTCTGCCGTCTGTATAGAAAAAAAGTTCAGAATAGACCTATCTTTCAGTTATAATTAATATACAAACATATTATACATACACAGGTACGTAAGTATATAAGATTAAAAAAAAACTCTTTTGCTGTAAATTTTAACTAGATTTGTTATAGTTTAATTAGATTTAATTAGCGAGAAAAAAGGGGAAACTAATTAACTCTTCTCCAAAGTGGACTTAAGTCGTTTACATTTACAGCAATTCGTGTTGGTCTGCGAAATAAGAAGTGTTTCAAATATACATTTCATAAGTATAAGAAAATATCTGTAAGTAGAATGGATGTAAAACATGCGAAAGGAAGAATGTAACCATGGGGATCAAATATCTTAAAACCGCTTTCATATATCATCTGTATATAATGTATATAATGTGAACTCTCTTAGATAAGACTTCCATATATATTCTCGTTTTTGTACATATGTATATGTTTTTGTACATTTTTTTAACTAAAACGCTTAACACTGAATATAAAAGGTACAAGATATTGTGGTTATTTGTAAATGATTTGTCTGTCAAATCAAGTAAAATGAAAAAGAAAAGGAAAAGATGTGGCATAAAGTTGATTGCTTAAGAAGCGAGGTGCAATGAGTGAAGTAAAAAATAACAACGGAATAATTCTAGTATTTTATACAATATTGTTTGGATTACCATTTTTGTGGGAAACATTAACAACTCATAACGAGTTTTCAGATTTAAGATTTTGGGTCATAACTCTTTAAAAAAAACATCTAAGAAATTTGATGTTCTAAAAATATACATATAATGAATAACACATTTGTGTTTGAAATTAAAGAAATTGGACGTCTTTAAAGTATAGCTCGATTATATACCGATATGAGGTTTTTGTTTTATCAAAAATCCGTCAAAAAAGCATCTAAAAGCATGAAAATCGGTACTCTACATTTGTATCAACAAAACAACATTGTCACCGAAAATGATAAAAAACGGTCTTCTTTCGAGTGTTACCCTCACCTCATTTCATACGAGGGTTTCCTCTTACAAAAGCAAAATATACTAAAGCAAAACTCGAAGAACAGTTTAGACAGAAGAAACATCATTCTTTGATCTTATATTAGTGTGTAACTACATTAATTTAGGGACTCTGAAAAGTTGACTTTTAGTTACATAAAGTGCTCTTGTGACCCATAGTGCGCTGAAGCGATTTTCTGTCGAGTTTCTCATCCAACAAAAAACATACGTACACAGTTGTACGTTTGATATTGACGATACAGAAGAAATAAAATAAACAATTAAAGTATTTGTGAATGATTGTTCTTTCAACGTGTTTAAACGAGCACCAGCTTATGCGCGATATACCAGGCATACTTTTAGGCTTTTGCTCATTGCTTCCTGTCGTTTGTGCTCTTATGCACTTAGAAGAGCGACAGCACTGAATGAATTATTAATGCCACACATTTTTTACATTAAGCTCACATCGCGATGTCTTCTAAGAGATTATATTTAATGTTTTAGATCAAGTCATTGTCTATATCACGAAACATAGACATTTGTCAAAACTGTTCACATTGAACTTCGTTGGCATTTTGAAACAACGTAGTCAGAAAAACTCTGTATTTTGAACATTGTATTTACAAAAGAAAAAAAATATACAAAACGAAAGCGGCCAAAATCAGTTCAGTTGTTCAGTCCTTATCAGATTCTGAAGAATAACCGATGATTTAGCTTCACAGGCATAGAAAACAACTTCACGGTTATATTAGTTCTTTTGTTGATTTAAATATAGCCCTAACTACAGAAATGTAAAAAACGATATAATTTAAATAAGTTATTACAAATAATTTAAAAGTAATTTGGTAAAAATGTTAAATGGATGGGCGTTTTTAGTAATGGATTATAGCGGACAAATATATTTATTATTATTGCATACCTATACAATGTGACTGAATTTTACCAAAACATAGTTGGTTATAAGATGTCTTATTTTAAAACTTGAGATACTCCGCTTTTCAAAACATTTCAAATTTGAACTCTTTAATTTCAAGTAAAATAAAATTTACAATTCGATCTTTTTCCTGACATGTTCATACATATACACGTATGTGGAAATAACACCCTAATTAAATCGCTTAAATTATTTTCGTTAAGCTTTTTAAAAGCTCTGCTGAGAGTCTTAAAGTCAAAGCGAAGAGTAAAGAGTGCACAAAATATTTGAAATCAAGTTATTTACACGTCTGCACACACATACATAACGCTAAGCTTAATAAAAGCTCAGCGACCGCGATAGCGGAGTGGTTAGCATTGGGCACAGCTATTTGGAAGGCCAGGCCCGAGTCGCACGAACATACAAAAAACCATAAAAAAATGATAGAAAATCAATTTGAATAAAAATTTCAGTTAAATTTTCGGTTTAAGTTGCGGTCGTTTCTTCGGAAGTAGATGTCAAGCCCACCGCGTGTATTTCTGACATGAAACAAAAACTCTTCATAAAAATCTATCGACCGTTCGGAAGCGGCTTAGTATACACTGTAGGTCCCGCCATTTGTTGGATAAACATCAAGACGCACGCCACAAATTGGAGAAGGAGCCCGGCCAAAAATCGCTTCAGTGGCTACAAAGCGCCAATTATATATATTTATAATTAAATATACGAAATTAAATGAAAAAACGTACATATATAAATATGTGTATGTACGAGTATATGTGTATACTGACATGCCCCTTAAAAGCTCAATACGCATAGCATCGTTAGGAATGTCTTTATTGTTGTTGTACATTTTTGCTGACGTCGTCGGCGTCTTAGTTTATTGCGTTTCCATTTCATCGTTCATTTATTTTGCTCGTTATATTCGCGTGCTTTCCGGACAACATTTTGGTATACAAAGCGACATAAATAAACTCACT